CAGTCATAAGGTTGTATTTATAGTCGCTTCTTAAACCCGATGTGAGGGAGGTCCTATATGGCTCACATTATGATCAAAGTAGGTTTTTCGAACAACATCATTAACAGGACAACTTTTACGAACCTTGGGTGAAATTTACAGCGTAATTTTGAAAAAAAGAAAAAAAAAAACTAATTGAGAGGGAGGACGATGATTTGCATTTGACGCCACAAAAGGCGCGGAGGATAAACTAAAACCGGGCGATACGTCTGTGCACAAATTTTTTATCACACTCAACATTTGTCACCAGTTTTTACAGTCTCAAAAAAATGAAAAATATTTACATTTTGGCACCTGTACCAGAATAGCGTCATTTCCCATAAGGTAACACGCTAAATACTTTAGTACATGCTACATCGGGGGGTTCCAAAGGGTGGAAAGGGCGGATCTGGTAATCAGAAGCGCCCGATAAATAACTTCATATAATTTTGACAAACTTCAAGGAAAGATCGACTCACCTTCAAATTGTCAAAATTCGTAATATATTTACTTTTGTACTTTACATTTTTGCATTGGGAAAAGTCTTTGTAATCCATCGCAAGGAACTATTCCCAAATTTTCTTTTAAATTGTAAAGAAGTTCGTAGATATTGTCATTTTAATGATGCTATTTTAAAGGTCTTCTTCATGACAATGTTCATAGGGCGTCACTGAGCTGTTAAAGGAACGACTGCCTATGAGCCATGTTTTTAGATGTTCTTCTCTAATTACTTATTCTTTAAGGAGGCCCTGTAGGATTTACGTTGGGAAGGTTTAAGAATACCTTTAATGCAGCATCATGCAGAGGACAATCTGTACGAGACTAGAATAAAATTCAACGATTTGCAACCACAAAAATTGTATAGTACAAAAGAGAAGATTCTGTGACTTTGACACAAAATTTGCAAAACCATCGATATATTTTTTTCTGAGTACTGCGTTTTTTCGGTGGAAAATCATATTAATCCCTTTTGAAGGATAAATTCTAACCGTTAAACTTTACTCGAGTTTTGTAAACATTTTAGAATATTTCAATTTTAAAAATTTTAAATTTACTATTTTTTGAGGCGTCGTTAATCACAATGGGTACCATATAAGACCTCCTTAAGAGAAGGAGCTGTTTCAGGAACGACGATGAATAATGTGGCCCTCAGCCAATTATTCTGGCCTTAATGTCAACCACTCGCATTGAAAATGGGGTGTTTCGTTCGATTTAACTTCTCGCGGACTCCGCCCCAGAACGTGCTGTGAATATTCAGATTATATTCGACATCATTTTGACATTCGCAGAATACGCTTGGAATCTTAAGCTGAAGTTCGCCGAAATTAATAAGTAGCTTGTATTAGAAGTAAGATTTGGAAATTGCATCAGGAAACCTGCGATTGTCAGTTTTGAAGTCCGACTGGCAAAGAGATATAACAACTTCAGTGAGTTTGATCTTCTCCGAAAACTTAGAGAAAATCATACTACTTATTAACCGGGAAACAATGGACTTTTCCTCGTATACTCACTCAAAGTCCCTTTTATCAGATTAGAACTCTCCTATTGCAGGGAGATGGAGTCTGTTTTTTTAAAATTTCGAACCTTTGGTTACCGATTTGTTGAAGCGCTGAAGGCAGGAACGAAATTGAAGCGCGAAATTCCTCCCTTCGGCAACAATATAGCAAGTGTATATTTTTTTCAACGGACACGAAAGACTTATGAGGGCGGGCTGTAATTATTACTTTGGCGCACTGCGTATTTGAAAATTCTGCAAGTGTATTAAGAATTTTGAAAACGCCCCCTTTTTTGCTATTTTATGTAAAGAAGGGATTTATGATTAAACGATTTTTCTTCGGCAAGACTGCGATGTGTCTTCCTCAATTCATGACCATTTAAAACGATAAAGCCTCAAAGTTGTTGATTAGATTAGGATAGCTATTTGAAGAACCACCTTTAAAGTCGCACAAAACAAAACACTTAATTCAAGACCACCGTACCCTTTTATAAAATATACACTGAAAAAAAAATGTGCTTGGCTGAGGCATGATGATTCTTAAAACTGCCGCCAAGAATTTTTTTTATTTTGATTTAAGCTGAATTTTTCTTGATAAAAAGAAAGTAAAGCTTGGATTAAGCATAAAAGTGGTTTATATTAAGCAGCAAAATTCTTGATTTAAGAAAAAATACTTCTTGGCGGCAAATTCAAGATTCTTTTTTTTTTCCGAGTAACATCGTTGAAAACCTTCGCTCATCCTTTGGAGTGTCAAGTAATTCAGAGACAACCTCCCTCCAATCAGTTCGGAAAAAATAATTTCCGTGTAAAAATTGATGTTCATGATCCCTAGTTTTGAAGTGCTTTAGAGAGCACAGAGGCAAGTGCGACACATTGTGCAAGTTTTACGACGCTAGTGATACGTCACTATACGTGGTGTGTCCTTCATTTCTGAAGTTAAATTTAATCCAAAGAAATCAAAAAGGAAAATCTAATCACTTCCGCCGTTGCTGAAGTTAACGCGCTCTTCATCTACTTTTACCATTTTTTTTAGTTCATAATAATTTTAATTTGACAAAAAATTATTGTTTTCAAATAGGTGTAGATTCCGAAAAAACGAATGACTCAATTTCGATTAAGATGATAGTATGGTCCCCGGATATTGCAATAAAAACGTTTGAGTCACGCGATAAGAGGCGCTGAAGTTTTTCCTTTGAAATTGTCACAATTATTCGAAGTCACGAGCATTAACTTTCCGAAATTGAAATTTTCCTCTCTGCTTTACGCCACAGTGGCGCGTGTGCCAGCACCCGCTTTCGTGTGTGAAAACTGCACCGCAACGCTGTTTGAAAATGTCGAACTTTCTGACAAAGTTTTCGGGACGCGTATAGTTCGGGCCGTAACCCGATTTTGCGGTGACAACCTTTGCATCTCATTAATATTCAACAATTTTTGTCTCGGGAAAATGTCGCCGGAAATGGATACTCTCAAAGCGAACCACTGTGTGAGAGACTCGGGGGCTTCTTTAAAATGAATTTCAATAAATTATTACTGTTTTGCTTGTACTTCTCACCACATACACATAGTTTATTAACATATTAACCTTAATTAAAGTCTTTTCGAGTTATCAGGGGAAAACCGCGCGTCAGACCCATTGATTTCAATGTAAATCTTAATTTTTGAAACTCCGTATCTCATAACCGGCGTGACATAGGGCTACCAAATCTTCCACACACACGGAACCACATTAATGGAGATTTTAAAAACGCCACAAACTCGATTTTTCCTAAAATGTGAATTAGGCAACTCTTGGCTTTGGGGTACTGATATGAAACTTAACGAATCTTACATGAAAATGGACTGATAGTTGAAATTGATAGACAGAGCTATAGATAAAGAAGACAGCGGGAAAATGGAATGATCCTTTTAGCTGAAACGGGTGACTGTTTTCAACTGAGGGAGAAAAACATGAACTGTCCAGTGTCCAAAGGGTCCCTCGTGGGTTGCCGAAAGAGAGTCTATTATTATTACCTCTTCTGTAATCACCTGCTTCTACCAGTAGGATTGCTCCATTTTCTCTTTGTCACCTTCATTTACGACTGCGTCTATCAATTTCAATGATAGCGCGTTACGATACTTTGCCCAAAATCTGTATCAATTCGACTGGTTTATCCAAGCTTTAAATAATGTAGGTCTGATGGGCCCGCTTTTGCATTGATTAAACACCCTCTTGATTCACAGCCCAATAGCTACAAAGGGGCCACGAAACCACTACTTTTCTTATAATTGAGGGCATGCCCGACAAATCCGACCGCGCCTTGTCTCCGGGATTGTGTGGTTAAGTGATTAAGCCCCGTAAAAATCGGAACAAGCTCCGAGCAAAGCTCTCTTGATGAGAAAGCGGCGCCGGGTTTCCGGAAAAATCGCATTTTCTTACGTGCTGGACTTCAGTGGCGAGGCGTGAACGATCTTTTATCGATATTTTCCCATTTGAAGCTGTGATAAAGAATCGATTAATGAGGTGGTCGTTGCAAATACCCTGTCTATCGATCCTTTTCTATGGGTATAAACGGTAGATCAATCGATATATCGCAATACATGCCACGTACTGTTCAGAACGACCGTGAATCCTGAGGTTGCTCACCCGACTCCTTTTGTTTCGTTACGAGCACTCTCCGAAATTAGAAGACTATTAATTATTTTATTCGTGTTTTAGAGGTAACAACCGTGACCTCTGTGCCGCAGAGTGGTGACCACTTGACCACAGTCGACTCCATTCGGCTCCTCAAGAGGGTCGAAAAATTGGAGCGTGTAGGATGAAAGGGCACAAAGTCACTTATTCCAACTTTCAGAAAACCGCGAAAATTGTAAATGTTTTTTGACATCGTGATTTTTTTTGAGCCAAACTCCGAATCCTCCGCTCTTTGAGATATTTTCAAAAACCCACGAGCCCTTTAAAAATTGATCGGATGATTAAATTTGGACGAGCTTAACAATCGATCGCCTTTACTTAATCATCAGAAAATTAAGAGGATTCTCCTTGAAGTTGCAAAGCTCCAGTTTTGAACTAAAACATAATTATCTATTCATTACCGGACACAAATACAAAATGAAGAAATTGTTTTCAATGTTCCGATTGACGGATTCGACGTGGCATTGCCTCTCTTGTTATAACTCAACGCCTAGACGCAAGTATTCGTGCCCTTTGGATGTCCGTATTGCATATGCAGAAGATTGAAGGCGCTTCAACTTCCGTAACCATCTCAGCTACGAGCGTGCTCACCGTGTTTACCGCTGCATTGATAATGAAGCGGATGGGATCAAAATGGCACAAAGACACATTTTACAACTTTCAGAGAGTCGCAAAAAACTGTACATTTTTTGGCATGATGATTTTTTTTTTAAAAAATAAATGCGAATTTTTTATTATAGCTTAGGAGTTCAGGAAGTTATATGCAACTAACAGGTCAAGCAAAGACGATTGATACATAGATTTTGTTTTACTCACGCATCACAGTAAGTTCTGCCTCGTTCGACGCTTTGGTGAAGATGGGCGATTCCAGCGAAACCGCACAAGAATACAATCCCGAGGCGGAAAAATTGACATTCTTTAACGTGACGTGCCTCTCGTCGTTTTCTGCATCCTGGAATCAAAACGAAAAAATGAAAAATTAAAAGAGGATGAAAATAAATCCTGAGCATTTTGTCCCCTTCTCCTTCTCATAGTCAAGTCTTTAAGGATAAAAATATGTCTCGTTTCAACCTGTCAACTTCGATTATCAAAGCCTTTCTAACTTTTCGGCCAAGACAGCTGTTTACCGAGTAGCAGCGATTGGATCGGAGAATGTATCGCAATTTTATCGACGTCGATTTATTGCAACATTATCGGATAAAAAATTGCGATAACTTGCGATTTAATCGCAGTTTTATCGAACAAAAAATGGTGATAAATTGAGATGAAATTTCGACTTATAAAATTCGATATTATTGGGATTAAATTTCGACAAGACTGAGGATAAATCTCAGATGTTGATGATCCAATCGATTTAATTCCAAAATACAGCGATTTTCCCGTTGAAAAATGCCACTTGGGTTGAAGAGAGTAGAACACGAATGTATCTATGTACCCTTTAAATCCTCTGAGTTTTATAACATCCTGACGGACAAGAAGCTAAAAAAAAAGAAGAAGGAAAAAAAACAATAAAACTAATCATACTTTACTACTAATAAGTCGCTCTTATAGCGTTTCTGTGCGCTCTGCGACACCCAACCACCACTGACAGCGATCTTGCCAGAGCTCCGCCGGCACATCGCATCTCATTTCCTGCCTTCTTCCTTCAATCTACGATTTGACAGGGCGTCCTCAACGTTTTCTGCCAAGGGGGGGGGGGGGGGGGCAGATCCAGAACCTTCTTAGGCAACCTATCATCTGGCATCCTTTGCTCATTCCCGTACCAGACAAGCTGTTTTGTAAAAATGTCATGCAACTATGTCGTTTCCGACGCCCTAAAACTAATCATTCTTCTTTGAAATAAGATTATAGCTCTTCCATGATGGTGATTTTATTCCAAGTTTAAAAATTGCTGAGAAAACCTACCGAAAGCTACCCTAAAATGTTTACGAGCTAAAAACTGCGGGTCACATAACCCACTAGAGTCCGCGGTTCTGAGTGAGGCGTGCAGACTCGGGAAAAGGGGTTCATGGAAAGTCCCTTTCTTTTGCCTAGGAATGAGGCGAGGAACAAAATGAGAAGGGAACTGATAGAGAATGATCTCAATTTAACCTGTCCCCGAGAGCAGAGACCAAAATCAATCTTCATGCGAGCTCAATGCGAAGCGAATTCGTGGTTGCCGAAATCATCGATAAAATATATTATGTAGCATCCCTCGCGGGCGGCACCGCGTATCTCTCTATACGGTGTCGGTTGACACATTCGACTCTTGCCGCTGGCACCGTTTGTTTCTTTTTATCGTGATTTATTATGAATCCTCGATTTCAAAATCCCGAGTCAACGTTGTCAGATTTTTGGTATTAGGCCTTTCAAAAGTCTCCTTACAGCTGTCTTTGAGTTTTAGGTGCACTGTTTAAAAGAACAAGGTTCTGTCCCCATTTTATAAATTTTTAAAAATTTTGGAGTGAAATTCTGTGCCGCGGGGTGCAAGTAGCGCCCAAAAGACCCGAGTGATATAAATGCGGAGCGAAATCTAGTCTCCTTACGGAATGATATACACTACTGCGGAGCGGAATATACTCCGTGTGCAAAATGTCATAACGCTTTTATGGTGCTTATTTCGCTTCGCATTATCAACATCCGAGCGCTGTTTCCGGCACCGACTTTCAGTCTTCGATTTTTAACAGTGTAGATCAGTAGCGTCGGTTGACTCGTTAATCGAGTCAAATGAGACTCAAATTGGGAGGTAATTGAAGTGATTTGGTGTCATTTTGGAGTTCATTAAAGGCAAATTGATAGAAATTTAGTCAATTTCGAGTCGGAGGTGGAGCCAAAGTTGACTCGATTTTATCTCAAACTGGGGGTGCGTATTTGGCCGCTTGGCGGTCCAACCCCTCGAAGCGCTGCGCACCTCAGACGTTTAGGTAACGCTTTACCCAAAAAATTGTATATTATTCAATAGGGGAAGAGACTATTAGTATTCACTGTAGTATGCGAGATGCAAAATGTTTTGAAATTTTATGGAATGAAATTTCTTAAGACCTGTGAAAATGAAGCTTTTGCAAACTTTGAAGTACAGATAGAGGGGGCTACAAAACGCTGAGAAATAGCAAAGACCCAAAATTTGAAATGTTAAAACGAAATTATCATGGCTCAAATTTCATAATTCCAGGTCAAATTCTCGAATATTCGTTGCGAGTCAGATTCGCAGCCCCGGAAATTCTGAGACATTTAAAATAAAATAACATAAAAAAAAACTTTCGGAACGATTACACATTTGGTGAAAACAAAATATTTTAGGAAATTACTGTTTTAAATTTTAAGGCAGAAAACTAGGAGGAATAATGTATGATCGTCAATCCAATTTTTGTTTGAAACCTAGTGCGATTAGAAATTGCACCATTTCGTACAAATTGAAGCCAAGAACGTGCAAGTTCCATAACCATAAAATACACCACACAAACTTTGAGGGCAATTAATTTTTTCATGAAGATCGCGACTGCAACATGTTTCTTTCAAAATGGCTAATGCAGTGGCGCGGCGTGCTTTGCGATATATCGATTGATCTACCATTTAAACCTATGGAAAAGAATAGATAGACAGGGTGTTCGTAACGAACACCTTAATAATCGATTCTTTACTATAGCTTGAAATGGGGAAATATCGATGATCGATTGTTCACGCCACGCCACTGGGCTAATGTCTTACTTTTTTTTCTAAACGTTCATTATTTCCCTCATTTAGCAAGACACTCAACTCTGGAAAAAAACACATTGGATCTAGAGTCCAGACTCTTAAAGACATCGACAAGAAAAAATACTCTTGATTCAATCAGATTTAAGCTTGCATCAAGAACCAAGCGTCTTAATTTGAGCGGATTTCCTTTCGTTGAATCTGATTGAATCAAGAGTCCTTAATCTTGTCAATGTTTTCAAGAGTCTGGACTCAAGATCCAATGTGTTTTTTTTTTTCCAGTGAAAGTTGTTTTTTCGCTTTATTTTCGTCCGCTTTTTTTAATGGAGCCTGATTATTAGGAACGGAGTGTGGGCAACCATGTAGCGCGAGCTCCCCGCCGTCAACCGAGGGGAACGAAACGTAAGAACAATCTTTTAAAGTCAACAAAAGCGGATGCTGAACATTACGTCATACGACGAAACACATACACACGAGCTCTCGTCCACAACAGTAGTGGTGGGGCACCGGGGGGACAGGAAGGGGGGCACAAAGGAAACCATAAAAAACTCAATTTCGCCCGTGTGTGTAATTTTCCCATGAACGACAAACTTTTCTTTGCACTGGAATAATTTATGCCCGCTGAGTGGTAGGCTTCAGCGGCATTATTGACTCTCCCCCTTCCATCCCCTTTTCAACCCCCCCCCTTTCCTCCAAAAAACTCATAGTCGAGCTTGCTCCTGCCAAGATTCATTTCACTCGTTTTCGGTTCGAGTCGGTCGCAGGACGAAATGATCATCATCCGAAGTGTTTCGAACGACATGCCGATACCCCACCAAACCGAGACATTTTAGAACGTGCCTGACATACATAAATGTTACAGCCCAAGTGCTTTTATAGAGATAGAAAGGACACCTGGCCTCGTGGAGGCTGCTTCAGAGCCTAAAAATGGTGACAGATTTGGATAGGTCGTTGCTAGTGTCCCTTTATACTGAAAGTCAAGACAATGTGAATCCATTTCTGATTGGTTCCCGTATTTTAGGCCTCCACAGTGTCACAAATGGGAATAAAGATTACATTTTCACCGATTAGAAAGATTATAATGTAGAATGGACCGGGGAATAACGGGTTCGACAAGGAACAAATGGAATGAGAGAAGGAACGGAGAGAGGAATTTGAGAATTAGCCGATCAAAGATTACGAAAAACTGTCAATTTGTGTAATCTTTCTTCCCGTTCGTGACTCCATGAGCGGAGGTTATGTCTTGACTCTCAGTATAAAGGGACTCTGGTCGTTGCCAGTGTTTGACGTTTGGCATGATGCAGCACATGTTCCCAATATTCCGATCACAAAGTCTACGTTGAAAGGAGTTTTCTCGGAAGGAATGCACACGAAGTGGACCGTCCTTTGAGGAAGAACATGAAGGCTTTGTGGGATTTCTAAAATTTCTCCATGTTCAATTTCGCGAACTTCCTCAGATTTTATATTATTTTGCCTGACTCCGAAATTTCCGGATCCTCTGACGTTCCTATGTTTTTTCCTGATTTTTTCTAGCTTTTCCAAACCTCCAAACATACATTTTTACGTAGATTATTTGTGATTTATTTGCGCTGAATTTTGTTCAAATCAGCTGAGAGCCTCGAGATGTTTACAAAGGCTGAAGGTCGTATTCATAGTTACCCCTTACGTAAGTCTTTCCCTTAGGGGGCTCCATATGGTTTACATTGTGATTAAGGGACGTTTAAGGAAGCCCTCAGAGTGGCATAATGGAAAAGACAGTATTGTCACTCTAGAGTAAAACTCAGCCGTATAAATGTAGAAATGGATCCTTGTAAGGGATTATGGTGATTTGCTACTGCAAAACGTAGAAAATACGGAGGAAAATTTTGTATAATTTTCACAAGCTTTGAGGTAGGTAACGACCTACCTTAAATTTTGCAAAAGTCGCAAAATATTTCCTTTCGTATTTTGTACTTTTTGTGGTAGCAAAGCTTTGTAATCCCTCGCAAGGATCCATTGTCAAAGTTGCTCAGCTGAATTAGACTTAAGGTTGGCAAAATGTTTCTTCTTTAAGATGCTATTTAAAGGCTTCGTTTACGTCCCTGAATTTCAATGTAAACCATGAAGGGGCTCCAAAGAAAAGGAGCTGTTTAACCCTTAGATGCCCAAGGTTTGCTTGAAATACGTGCCCCGCGGGTTGTATGAGGCCGGTACATACGATTTTTCGACATAGGCATACAAATACATCGTGAAGAAAGAAACAGACATCAACTTGAAAAAAAGAAGAAAAAAATCGGGTGT